GGAAGCAGGGGGCGGGGCTTCGTCATGTGCCCGCCCCCCCCGTACCTCACCCGGGGGAACTGCGATCCCCCGCGTTCCCCCCGAAATGACCTCTGCCCAAATCTATTAAAAAAAAAAACACAAAGCAAATCTACTCCTACAGACAGAGGGAATTAAATGAGATCTGCTCAACTCCCCAGAGGAAGACCAGGATGATAGCGAACTCGACTAGAAAGAGGAGGTCTCCGAAGAGGTCAGCAACCTCACGTTCACTAGCCTGAGAAAACAGTTGAGAAGTTCACGTTCAGAGTGGAGGAGATGAGAACAGCTCCAAAGACAGATGAAGAGACTCAGAACACAGAACTGTGACACTTTCACAGAGACTTTCCTGTCTGGCAACAGGAGTATTCCAGAGTCTGAGACACTCAATCAAGCAGAGTCAGGATTGTTATTTCCCCCCAAAAATAATTATTATGATTAAAAGGAACAAAAAAGTACTTCATTTCACAGATGGAAGAGAACCAGTCTCATATTACAAAGCCTCTTCGTAAGCAAAGGTACTAATTTTAACAACTGGTGATTTTCAAGCTTCCTTTCCTATTCCATTTCCAAATTTGGCAATGACCTTAAGGGATGCAAGAAGAACAATGCAGCCTTTGAGATTCCTAAGACAGCACTGGTTTTAAATGCAGAGTCAGCTACGAAAAAGCATAAATGAAATCATAATTATTGCAAATTCAGACGACTTAGAACAATTGTTCTAAATATAAGCTGGAAATGCTGCTCTTGACATTCAAGAATTTCTACACACCATACATAAAAACGATAGTCTGTGGATTAGCTGGCGAGAGCCCCATCCTTTGAAGATGCGCACTCTGGCTACAAACTCTTCTGCCCCAGTCTTGACTCTTGGTGGTTCTTCATTCTGTCGGACAAAAAAGGCTACCCCCCTCAAGAATTTGGCAGTACTTTGTTTCTTAGGTGGTGATAAATGCTAACATGGTTACCGGACTTTCACTCCAAGATATTGTGAGCTGGGTGGGGCTCCAGGCCCAGTTTAAAGTGCTGGACCTCCAAAGCCCTCAACGGTCTCAGTCCTCGATACCTTAGGGGTCACCTCCTCCCATATAAACCTACCTGGTCATCCTCATTCTCTGTGCACAAGAGAAAGTGCAGTGCGTAGTCAATAGATGTGCTGCGTCTCTGGAACACCCTTCCGAGAGAGGTTCACAGTGTACCATCTTTGTCAGCATTCTGTGAGAGGTGAAAACTGTCCCGCTCAGCAGAACGAAACAAGAGTCCACCTTAGAGACTAACAAAATTTATTCCAGCGTAGCTTTCCTGAGACAGCGCACTTCACGAAGTGAGCTCTGACTCGAAAAAGCTTATGCTGGAATAAATCCTATTAGGCTATCCCGACAGAGATAACTGAACACATCAAACTCATGACGGACTAAAGGTATTCACAAATGTCACCTCAGCCATCCTTACTAACAACCCTGCGGTGTCACTCCCATAATGCAGATGGGAAATTGAAGCTATAAGTGGCTCACCTGAGCAAGTTTTTGGCAGAGAGGAGATTGTGCTGGGATCTCGGAAAACTCCCTGTTCTGTTCTCTAAATCACCGGGCTATACTTACCCTTCATCAGGGCCGGTTCACGGTATTATGTTGCCCCAAACAAGGTACACCTGTCCCTTTCTGGGCTCACACAGGGACCACTCCAGGAGGCAACTGGCTTGGAGAGACAGAATACCTTGATCCATTACATTAAGAGTTGTGCAACGGTGGAATATTCAGCAGCCTCGGGAGGTGGTGAGCTCCCCCTGGCTGGTAGTCTTTAAGCAGCGGCTGGACAAACACTTGTCAGGGATGCTCTAGGCTGATCCTGCATTGAGCAGTGGGTTGGACTAGATGGCCTGTGTGGCCCAACTCTGTGGTTCTATGATTCCTGCTCAAAACATAGCTACAGTTCCCCCCACTGCTGTCCAGTCAGTTCCTTCCCTCACAGTTGCTAGGAGACAAGAGCAGAATGAAAAGTCCCATATAGTCTGGGTCCAACATACCTTCAGGACCACTTACTCCTATAAGAACCTAACTGACCACTGCAGTCACCTTAAACAGCCCTTCTTTGGGTGCCCTCACCATCTGAGGCTAGATGGATGGCGACCCGAGAGAGAGAGTCTTCAGAGTTGTGACACCAAAATCGTGGAAGTCCCTCCTCAGGGAGATCCTCTGCCACCCTCAGTCACTGCCTTCCATTGGCAGTTGAATACTTATCTGTTTCATCTGGCTTTCCTTCACTGGCCCGACTTTCTATGTATGTGTTTTAACTGTGGACACATTGTCACTTTATAGTCTGATGTATTTTTTTACTCAAGCATGGTGTGACGTTTTATGGCCTATGGCTAAGACAATAAAACTTATCTATCTTTAAAAAAAAAAAGGTTCTATACCGTGAATGTTGGGATTGTTTGATTGTTTTGTCCTTTATTGTTGATATGACAGTTTGATTATATGCACTGAATTTATACACCGTTGTTTTATATGCTGTACATCTTGTGAATAAGCTGATGCAAATGTTGTTGTAGTTATATGTTATCAAGTTAAAATTAATAACAAAATTAATCACAAAAAACAACAACTGTGGACACTGCTGATTTTAATTGCTTTTGTATTATGTATTCTAAAGGCCACTTTTAATTTTTTAATTTTTTGCTGCCCTTGGGGAACCTAAGTCGCGTAAAAAGGTGGCGTAGAAATCTTTCAAATAAATAAAACAATAAATAATGCGGCTCGCTGTGACACAAAGGAGGGGGAAACGAACAAGGACCAAGGAAGACTGAGCAGCCTGAACGAAACAGAAGGGAAAAAACTGTGCATCATGTTAAGAACATTTCCCTTTCATTCCATGCTACATGCAAATAATCTCCATCTTGCACTGACCTTTGGACGATTGTATCCGCAGAAGAATGTTAGTTAAAACGGCCTTTTTCTCCCTGACTGTGGAGGTTAAGTATTCGTGGTCCAGAAGTTCAAGAAACAGTTGTAGTTCAACTATTAACTCCTCCATGTCTGAAAACAAAACAGTAACTTTTGAGTAAATGAATTAAATCTAAAAGCATAGTTCAAAACAGATAGCTCAACCAGAACTATAAAAGGAAGCTGCTTTCCCTTATTAAAACCGTGCATGTAACATCTGTCAAGTCTGTTGCCTGTTACAGCCATTTTGGACCATGGCTTCCCCTTTGAGTAGGGGAAAGATCGACTGACGTGTGTTTCGGAAGGGAAGATGTTCAAGCCTATAGGAACAGGGGGACTTCCGGTTTATGGCGGCGTGCTAGCAGACTCACCTCCCGGACCTCCTGGAGGTGAAGCTGTGCTCCAGCCGAAGAAGTGGGTGCGCAGGCTTGCAACCCCCCAGGGGCCCGGCGAAGGGACCCTGGCCATGGAACTTATAAGAGGTCGCCTCTTCGATGGCGGAAAGCCAGAGAATTGAGGCCCCTCTTCGTTCCGATGGTTCTCCATGCTGTGAGACCGTATGGACTTAATGACGCTGTCCGGGACAAGCGCAGGAGATCACGTGGCAGAAACGAAATGAAAGCGAGGTCGAATGACCAATTATGAACGTGAGTCAATTCCGAAGCGTTTAAAGGGGAAAAGATAGCTCCCCACCCCACCGAACCGGGGGGGAGAACGAGCGGGGGAGGGACGCCTCCTATACGCATGAACTTTTGAGCGATCGATGGGGGGAGCGGAAGAAAAAGCCTGTAGGAACAGGACTTGGGTAGCCAACTGGTGATCTCGGGGCCAAATCTAAGTGCTCAGAGCATTTCTACCTCCTGTCAGCCCTACCCAGTTTTAACTGAGGTAAGGCAAAAAAAAAGGTCTGCCCACACTTTTCCTTATGAAAAATATTTTTGAAGTCGGAAGGGATGATCCATGTTCCATTGCTGCATCTGCCTTTGCATTTTATATGCCTGAGACTATGGGCTCCCTGACCGCTCAGTAACAGTGCTTCATCGTTTCCAATAGTTAAATGACATAGTCAAATGTATTGTTCACCTTTTCCTGCAGACTTTGTTCATTTGGGGCCAAAGCAGTCCCTCCAAAGGGTAACTCGCATCTTTTGGAATTTTAGGCAGGCCATTTTCCCCAGTTGCAATGGCTTGACAGTCGGCAGAGTAAAGGTGTTTTATTCTGTTCAGCCCGCCCAAAGGATATTGTTATTTATTTACTTCAGTTATGCCTTGCCTTTCTTCCCAGTGCTTACTTTGTTCTCCTCTCCTCTGTTTCCTCCTCACAACAACCTTGTGAGGTGGGTTAGGCTGAGAGCCCAAGATCACCCAATAAGCTTCCACAGCAGAGTGGGGAACTTTATTTTATTTATTTATTTTTTTATTTATTTTCATACTTATACCCCGCCCTCCCCAGTGGGCTCAGGGCGGCTCACAGAGGCAAGAACAACTTGCCATGATAAAACAATATATACAAAACAGTTTAAAACTTGAACCTGGGTGTCCCAGATCTTAGTCTGACAGCCCAACAGCTCAATTTCTCCCCCCCGGTCATTAAAAACTGGTGCACCACAAGCAGAAATCAAACCGAACTTTTAGGGATTGGCAGATGGCCATGAGGTACAAGGGTCTGTTTGAATGGATGCCTGCCTGAGATCTGAGTGCCGTGTGCCCATACATAAATGTGCCTACATAAATAAAGTCATCTTGGGTAAGGAACTCTTTTCGTATGCTTATTTTTTGCATGGCAGGAGAGAGGAGAAGAGAAGAGATTGGATTTATACCCCGCCCTTCACTACTCAAAGGTGTCTCAGAGCGGTTTACAAACTCCTTTCCCTTCCCCTCCCCACAACAGACACCCTGTGAGGTAGCCGGGGCTGAGAGAGCTCTTGACAGAAACTGCTCTTTTTCAAGAACAGCTCATTATCAGAACTATGGCTTGCCCAAGGTCATCCAGCCAGGTACAAGTGGAGGAGTGGGGAATCAAACACACTTAACCACTACACCAAACAGACATGGAGGAGGAATTCAATGACAAAGTTTCATACTCGGTAGGGAGTAGTGGATTAAAGGCGGAAAACTGATCTACAGCAACACTTCTGGAATCTAAAAAAAAATGTCTTAAAGTGAGTTTGGCTGTTCAGATGTCATCCGCCAAAAGAAATGTCTTTGTATGTACAACTGGATGTTAAGAGGACAAATACCTGAACAACTATTAAAGAAAGCCACAAACCTCGATGGCATTTTAAAAGAAAATGACAAATTCATGGGAGGTCACCTGGCCATCAATTGATATTAGCCGTATTAACGAAAGGAAACCTCCATGTTCAGGAGCTGTACAGCAGCAGCTGAAGTCTGTCTTCTGAGCCCCGCTTTGGGCCCTCTAGAAGACTCTGGCTGGCAACTGCTATAGGCAGAATGCCAACTTGATCCAGCAAGGCCATTTTTATGAAAATGAAGACTCGCTTGGAGCAATGGTGTGCCCTACTGGGAAGTTTAAACAAAGCATGGATAAAAATGCCCATTCCCCTCTGCACGCTTTCAAAATTGCAGTCTTTCCCATTCACTCACAGCTTCATTAGCACCCCCTCGCCTGAACCACAGGCCTCAGCTGGGCACAGCCCTGATGACATTCGGAACCAATCGCTAGCCACACACACTGTGCAGAAAACAAAGCAGTCATCAGATTAAAAAAAAGAAAAAAAGAACACTTCTTTCAACTTGCCAGCTGCTTCAGAGGCACACTTGAAAATTTATTAGGCTGACGACGGAAGAAACTGCTGCCGCACCTATTTTCCTTAAAGATCCCCTACAATTGCTAAGCTTTGCAAACAATAAAGATTCCCAACTTTTAGAGTCGTGGTCCAAAATAACCTTTAAAACCCACAGAATCCTTCATAAAAACCAGTTAAAAGAATTGGTCGTTTTCCATTTGTCAGTTTGAAATATCTTCTGCCAGATCTTTTCAGGCGATCGAGTCACCTGAACTGAATGCAAAACACCACACATTGGTCTCTCCTCTTAAGTGTTTCTGTGTTAGTATATTCTTGGACAACTAAGTGGAAGTCAGTTAACCATCCCAGGGCGACAGAGAGGAGGAGATAGGGGATTTGCATTAATTTCACCAACTGCCACCAACATTAATTTCACCAACTGCCACCAACATTATCTAGGACGCCGGTGACTGAGAATGGTCACGACGGGATTTGGCACGTCTGGGGACGCAGCTGCCAACTGTCTAGAAAACAGCTGTGATAAAGAAAAGTAACTAGTAGAGGCCTTGCTTCAAATATCATATTACAGTATATTTCACATCCAAATACCCTGCGTAAAACAGGTGTGTGGAGAGATCGACATGGCACTTGAATTAGCTCATAACAAACCTTCTACTGCGCAAATTAGACTGGAGATCGACAACTGAACCTTCTGTCTTGACTCTGCTTTTTCTTAAGGGCAGTCATTAAAGGTAAAGGTAAAGGTCTCCCTTGCTCGAAAGCCAGTCGAGTCTGACTCTAGGGTTGCGGTGCTCATCTCCGCTTCAAAGCCGAAGAGCCAGCGCTGCCCGAAGACGTTTCCGTGGTCATGTGGCCGGCATGACTAAACACCAAGGCGCACGGAACACTGTCATTAGTCAACTGAGACCACAGGGCAGGGGGGGAGGGGGATTAATCCCACTTGGGCTGCAGTCAGACGTGCCATTTGGCATGGAGGAGAAAGCGCCCCTATTTCCCCCGGAGTAGTTTGACTCGCAGTCGCACGCACACACAACCCCTTTGTGCTGCGACTTAGCCCATCACTGTGTGATCAGACGCCAGTGAGTTTTTGGGGGGATGTCTTTTTTCCCCCATTTGCATACATGAGTCACACCTCCACACAGAGAGTTCCCCATGGAGTATGCCGTTATGCGCATACTGCTAAGCGAGGGGGGGAAAGGGCACTGAGTTGGGAGACCATCCCAATGGCTTAAGAGCATACTTGAGCGATCAGTCTAGGGAAAATCCATCCACGGCCCACTGGCAAGTGTTAGGTGTTATGTATGGAATGGAATGTATGTATGCATTGAGCTTGAGTCTGATGCAAGGTACTGTAAACCGACCTATCAGAACAAGGGAAGTTCTGGAGGGAAGCAAAGTGATTGGTCTTTATGTACTATACAAGACGGGGACCCGCGATACTCGCAGGGGGGGGAGAAGAGCTCCGTCTCCTCCATCCCCCCCGCTCGATCTCCCCGAGGAGGAGGCGGCGAAGCCGGTCCTCCCCCCCCGCCCGGCTCCGAGGCGGCGGCTGCGAGGCCAGCTGCAGAGCATTCCCTGCGCATGCGCAGGGGACGCTCTGTCACTTTTGGGGGGATTTAAGTATCCCCCCGATGTTCTTCTGACTTCTGTTCAATAAAGCTGTTATCACTGTTCACCTGCTGCCCCGAGTCTCATATTTAACATTAGGACCGGACTTTCCCTGGTGTTTTTTTAATTCCGTTTCTGCGGCGGAGCAGCATGGGGCGCAGATAGGCTTGCCAAGTCCCCCCGGGGGCGGGGGAACCCCCACCCCAGAGGCCCGTTCTCCGCCAGCGGCGGATCAGGCCCCGGGGGGAACCCCACCCCGATGTGCGCGTCACCCGGAAGTGATGCGACCACGCCAGGCACGCTGGGGGCGGGGCCACAGTCATCCGAGGGAAAACTCTATGGCGCGCTCCAGACTCCAGACAGGAGTCCCCCGCTCCGGAGGAATTTACACTTGGCAACCCTAGGCGCTGACGACTGCGGGACCTTTCCCAGACGTTGCTGTCTGATCGTGCACTTTAGATCGATCAGGCATTCGCAGCTATGTGAGATCTAAAGGCACGTTGCACCACAGCCTTCTAGTTTTCCCCAAGGCTATCTACCACGCTAGGGAAACATGGAAATATCAGCAGAAAAGAGCAAGAGTCCAGGAGCACCTGAAAGACTAACGAAATTAGCAGGATATTAGCAGGACATTAGCAGGCAAATGACAATAGCAGGTGTGACTGGATTTAGGTGACACGTGCAGAGGGGTAATAGGTGTGGAGAAATCAGCA